GCCTGCCTGCCCGACCGGCCACCCGCCCAGCAGCACCACTGGACACCAGGGAATCCCCCCAGCACTCCAAAAGGTAAGGAGGCTGGGGGGATTATATTAAAAAAAAACAAAAAAACGTGTGAGTGTTTGAGTGTGTGTGTGTTAGAGTGAGTGTTAGTGTTTGAGTGTGTGTGAGTGTTAGTGTTAGAGTAAGTGTTAGAGTGAGTGTGAGTGAGTGTTAGTGTTTGAGTGTTAGAGTGAGTGTGAGTGTTAGTGTGTGTGTCTTAGTGAGTCTGTTTGTCAATGAGAGTGTATGTTTTGTGAGTGTGGATGTCTCTGTAAGTGAGAGTGTGTGTGTGTCTTCAGCACTTACCTTTCTCCAGCGCCGGACTCCCTTGGCGCTGGGGATCCCTCAGCCTCTCAGCTCCGAATGAGACCGAGCACGCATTCAAACCGCCCATAGGAAAGCATTACTCAATGCTTTCCTATGGACGTTCAGTGTGCTCCTCTAGCGGCTATCAGTGAGACAGCCACTAGAGGCTGGAGTAACCCTCAGTGAAACATAGCAGTTTCTCTGAAACTGCTATGTTTTCAGCTGCAGGGTTAAAACTAGAGGGAACTGACACCCAGACAACTTCATTGAGTTGATGTGATCTGGGTGTCTGTAGTGGTCCTTTAACCCCTTAAGGACCAAACTTCTGGAATAAAAGGGAATCATGACATGTCACACATGTCATGTGTCCTTAAGGGGTTAAAGGACCACTATAGTGCCAGGAAAACATACCTGCTTTCCCTGGTACTATAGTGCCCTGAGGGTGCCTCAGGGACCCCTCCCACCGCTCTGGAAAGGGGAAAAGGGGTAAAAGAGGAGCTCTCCTCCATCCTCCTCTTCTTCCCGCCGTTGTATGCGCACGCTGCAAGGGCAAGAGCGCGCTACAAGATTCAGTGGTCACATAGGAAAGCATTCTCAATGCTTTTCCTATGGACGCTGGCGTGCTCTCACTGTGAAAATCACAGTGAGAAGCACGCAAGCGCCTCTAGTGGCTGTCAATGAGACAGCCACTAGAGGATTAGGGGGAAGGCTTAACCCATTCATAAACATAGCAGTTTCTCTGAAACTGCTAAGTTTATGAAAAAATGGGTTAACCCTAGCTGGACCTGGCACCCAGACCACTTCATTAAGATGAAGTGGTCTGGGTGCCTAGAGTGGTCCTTTAAGTGTGTGTGCATCTGCATGCACTGGCGTACATACCGCGGTCGCAGGGGTCGCAGCCCTGTAACCAGTGGTGTATCCTGGTTTTGTGCTGCCCTAGGCAGGACAAAACTCAGGCACCCCCCCGCGCCACCGCCACCCAACCCTTCCCCCCTGCTCCGCCTTCTAAATACACACACACACATTCACTGACAGATACGCATTCGCTAGCTAACAGACACATACACTCACTAACAGACACACATACTCACTAACAGACACACACACTCACAGGCAAACACATACTTACTAACAGACACACGCACACACACACTAACAGACACACTAACACACACACACTAACACACTCACACTCACACACTCACACTAACACACTCACTTGTGTTTTTTTTTTTTTATTTAACCCCCCCAGCCTCCTTACCTTTGGGAATGCTGGGGGGGTTCTTCCTCTCCCTGGGGTTCTGGGGTCCTGGGGTCCAGTGGCTGCAGTGCGGGTGGCTGGCTGGCGAGGGAGCTCTTCCCCTGAGCGCTCTGCTCAGCTCCCTCGCCAGCCACCCGCCCGCCCAGCGCTGCCCGCTCGGCATGCCTGTTAGCCGCCAGGCTAACAAGGCATTTGCCTTGGGCATTTGGGACGGCTTTTTTGCCGCCCCTTGAAAAATGCCGCCCAAGGCAAATGCCTTGTTAGCCTCGCGGCTAATACGCCCCTGCCTGTAACCCCTGCGACCAGGTGCCCACCGCCATGTGTTGCGGCCTGGCCCGCGCGCCGGGGGGGGCCAAGGATCAATTTTCGCACCCGGGCCCCATGGGTCATGTGTACGCCACTGAAAGTGAATCAATGTAAACTTCAAATTTAAGGCCAGAATAGCCAAATTGAAAGAATTTTTCCAGTTCAGCTACTTTGACCTTAAAGTTAAAATCAATTTGGCTAAATAGAGATGAAAGTAGGGAGAGTGTGTCAGGTTGCTGATAGTTGATGTGGGGCAACCCCTGAAATAAATATAACTAAGAGCGAGAGCAGAAGGCCAGGTCAGAAATAAGTAAGTCTAGAAAATTTCTGACCTAACACTTTGTTAGAGCAACCCCTATGAACTAATATAAATTAAAACATAGCTTTTAATAATCGAGAAACATAAAGTGGAAACACCTCCCAATACGTGACAATATATGTATAGAAAATATACAAATAACCTGGAATCAGGCAGTGATTCATGAGTAGCATCTGTATAGAGAATTACAAAACTAACATAGCGTAATACAGTTTTGTTTCAGTGAGTGATATCTATAGAAATAAGTGCACTCACAAACGGACATGAAAACAGGCTTCTCACCCTCTCAGGGGTAATATGTTGTTCGTTGCGCAGACACATTTATTGGTCTCACTTACAATTGTTTATGTTTTAGGTGTCAGTGAGGTACACCTGGGACTCCCTATTATACGATTTTTCACTACACTCTTAGTGTGTATACTTTTCTTTGTTTGTATAGCTTTTAATAAAACGTAACTAAAAGTACTATAAAAACACACACAATAGGGGGAGGTGGAATTGTATGCTAAAAAGTACTAACGTAATGTAGTTATAGTACCTACAACACAGGGGGGGTAATAATAGAGTGGTCTCAGAAGTCCTAAGAACCAAAAGGTAATAGTCAAATTTACAACTGTCTCCAACTCCCTTCACCTAGTTCCAAAATAGCATCAAATCCCTTTCCTTTAATGCTACAAGTTTAGCCAAAACTAACTAGTAGCTACATATCCATACATTATATGGTAAATAAACAATAATAGCAAGGTGGCTAATCTGGGAGAGTAAATATATATTCCATATATGAGAGGGGTGCTAGGAAACTAAAACCTTATTCATGGCTTGCTTTTTTTATTTCCCCAGACCATGCGTATTCAGCTCCACCATACGTATATAGTGACAGGGATTAGGCATTTTCCACCCAGTAACTCAATATTGTAAATTTGTGCTTTAACCCCTTAGTGACCAGACCATTTTTAAATATTCTTACCATTTGGGACCAGGGCTGTTTTTACATTACTGCGGTGTTTGTGTTTAGCTGTAATTTTCCTCTTACTCATTTACTGTACCCACACATATTATATACAGGCATTTCCTGATTTCCGAACTCTCGCTTTACGTTTTCCTGCCTTTACGAATGCAATCCGGATGCTGTGCCATTTTATTTTTGCCGCCATTTTGTTTCAGCGATCCATGGATGCGGAGCAAGCTTTGAAGGGCTGAAAATAAGAATTTGTGGCCAGAAGTCAGAAAGAGTGAAGAGGAAAGAAAGGTAAGTGCATACTTGCCAACAATCCTGAATTCTGGGGGGCAGACCTGATTTTAGACTGTCACAAGAGTATTTTCTGGTGTTCACCTTTTTAGAAAGTCAGAGAAAAGTAATCATCAGAATGACACAACCACATTGGTTGTACAGATGGGTACATCACGAATGTAAACAATTGATTAATTGGTTTATCCTCACACTCCTTCCTCCTGTCTCAAACGTTGGCAAGTACTGTATGTAAAGTGTAAAGAACGGGTTTGTGTGTGTATGTGTGTCTGAGATTGATGTGAGTGTGTTTGGGACTGTAATTATAACTACTGTTATAGGTACTATGCTGATTGCAGACTCTGCAGGGGGGTTCCAATGATTATTATTTAGAGTTATTATGGGCATGTGAGGATGCATTAGATAGGCATTGTTTTTTGTTTTTGTTTTTAATGTTTTAGTCAGACAGATCTGGAAATGTAAGTCTGGTAGTGTCTGTCATTTAAGCAGTCTAGCCATATGAAGTGTGTGTCTGACATTGTGCCATATTTTGGCAGGCAGCATAGCAAGGAGCAGGAGGAGGGCTGAAGAGCCTGAAGAAAGGGGAGAAGGAAGAAAGCTCTTGAAAGCGCTAAAAAATAAAAGTAGGAAAAGAAGTGCAAGCCTTAAAGAGAGAGAAGGAGAAGAGATTGAGAGCTGTAAAAAATAAAGAAGTGAGGAAAGTTGAGAAAGAAGAAAGTGAAGAAGGAAGAAGGCTTAAGAGAGGTGTGAAATAAAAGGAAAAGGAAAGTGATAAAGGAGAGAGGGAAGTTGAGAAATAATAACGTGAAGAAGGAGGACTCATAATGCCACCAAAAAGAAAGGATGCTACAGTTGGTGCGTGTAATGAAAACACAAAAAGCCATAACATTGGAAACAAAATTGAACATCATAACAGACCATGATGCGCATGCCATCAAGAAGCTACATTGCAAAAGAAGAATCATCAATGCCCAGTTTTAAACCAGTGAAAGATCGACTAACTTTATTGCTCAGTGGGAATGCAGCTGGAGACTGTAAGTTAAAACCCATGATGGTGCACCGTGCAGAAAATCCTAGGGCACTTAAAGGAATTGTGAAAAGAATACTGCCAGTCATATGGAAAGCTAATAAAAAAAAGTTGGGTTACTGCTTCGCTGTGTGAAGATTGGTTCTCACATTATTTTGTACCTGAAGTGAAAAATCAGAAATCAGTACCTTTTCAAATTATTCTACTTGTAGATAATGCACCCGGTCATCCACCCTCTCTTCAACATCGCCACCCTAATGTCAAAATCATATTCTTGCCACCAAATACAACTTCCATTTTGCAACCAATGGACCAACGTGTTATCGCCACATTTAAGCACTGTACCGGCAGACATTTGAAATGCTGATTAAAGCAAAGGACAACAAGAGAGGTCCAAGTTTTAAAGATTTTTGGAGAAAATCATTTAATATTTTAGATGCAATAAAAATTACAGCATATACCTGAAACAAAATTTCTGAGACAACCATGAAAGGTGTTTGGAAAAAGCTCTGCCCTCAGTTGTTTGGTACTTATGTTGAAGGGTTTATAGAACCAGCAGAAATTGTACAGCAGAACACAGAAGCAATCGTTACTCTTGCCAACAAATTGGATCGGGACATCTCTACAACTGACGTAAATGAACTTCTTGAAGCACAAGAACTTTCAAATGAAGACCTCTCAGATATGGAAGAACAAAAGGACGTTGAAGAGGTAGAAGATGTTACTGCACCTGAAACTCCTTGTAGCGGACTGGGTCCTATACCAGAGTACACCCCAGTTTACTGGAGGGGGCTGCTGGTGCACCTCCTGCCCAGTGATTATGGTCCCGGAAAGATAGGACCCCTTTAAGTACAATGGCTGGGATTAATGGGATTTTGTATGGCACTACCGGCCCTTTAAGACCTAGCCAAGTACTATTACAAAGACTTCGGACCATATACCTTATACAGCAAAGGACATTGAGCTATGTATTTTAATGTATTCGCTTAAATTGCAGTGTTATATGTACAAATATAGGTTGTATTCGTCTGATTGTTCAGTAGAATCATTCTAGCAACTAGGGGAATGAAACTACCGAACAGTCGGACCTCCCCAATGTGAAGTGTGCCTTCAATTACCAGTTGCAACAATGTTGCGAACTGGTAGTTGACAAGCTGTGCGGTGGGTCCTTTGTTCTCAGGGTGGCCGCCATTTGGGAAACGAACACGTGGCGGCAGCCATTTTAAAACTCCCGAACACCGGTGTTTTGCCGTCGAGTGTCTGGAACCCAAATCGGACACTCGGCTAGGCAAACACCGCTGAGACCTCCATACGCACGATACATTTGCTTCCAAACTACCGAGCGGCCCCTCATTCGGTAGAAAGAAACAACCGAACGAGGGGATTCATGCGAACCCTACCTGATCTCTGTAACCTTAGCATTTCGTGCAGTTTGTTCCCTTATACTGTGACCGACTGCAGGGCCCCATCGCATGGAACCCAATTCGGCTGTTCTCTCCAGCGCGGTCAGTCTTTTCATTGCCTCCACAAATTTCCTGAACCCCTGGTCCGATCTGGGTGATTTTTGGATATGTTGCTCACCCAGATCAGGGCTGCCAGGGGCTGTGCCATTTAAAGGGGTACCCCTAGATTTAGGGGTAACATCCAGAAACTGGGGGAATTTGTGTACTGTATAAGGGGATTATGAGTCAGGCTGAGGGGAGGAGATGTGTGGGAGGTTACCAGAACAGGATTGGATACTGTAATAATTAATGGAAATCCCTCCCTTGCATGGGAGCATGCTTTATAAGGCCACTGTGGAAATAAAAGTTGAGTTCTGCTCCTGATGCTGTGTGTCGTCCAGTTATTGGGATTGCTATTGGGATATTGCTGGATTATTTTGCCTGCTGGAAACCTTGCTCTATGGATTTATAACTACTTGTTCCTGAGTCACACCTGGACTACCAGCGGAAATAGCCTGTGAGAGACCAGCGTTCCGCTACACTCCTGTTCCTTCTTTTACTTTTAAAGGCCCTGAGGAAACATTTCAACACATAGAAAAGGCAATTAATATTTTTGAGTCACTAGATTCTAACTTTGAGAGAAGTACCGAAGTTGCTAGAGATCTAACAAATGCCTATGCCTGCTATGAGGAAATTTACAACGAAAAGAATGTGTTGGAAGCGAACCACTATCACAGCTTATCTACAGAAGCTGCTGTGACTAGTTCTGTCTCAAACAAACCAGAAACAAGTACCAAAAAACTGAGGGAGGACCAGGGATCTGTCTACCGCAAGGCAAACAAGGCATTTGTCTGGGGTGGCAATTTCCAAGGGGCGGCAAAAAGCGCTGCCCCCAAATGCCCAGGCTAATAACTTGTTTGCCTCGTTTTATGGGAGCCCAAGAGCTAGCTACCTTTGGGCTCACCCGGGGCAGCGGGCAGTTGTCTCTCGGGTGGGCGGCGAGGGAACACTTCCCCCCTGAGCTCTCTGCTCAGGTCCCTCGTGCGACCCGCAGTAATGCCGGAATCACTCTGCGGCACGCGAAAACATAGAGCGCCCGCCAGCCTGCCTGCCTGCCTACTTGCACGTTCGTCCACCTCGTTGTGCAGCAGACCCACTGTACCCCAGGTGAAAAAAAAACACCACGCTATCCCAGAAGTAGGGAGGCTGGGTGGATTTAATTTTTTTTAATTATAATTTGTGTGTTTTTCAGTGAATGTGAGGAAGTGAGTGAGTGTGTGTCAGTAAATGTGTGTGTCAGTGAATGTGAGTGAGTGAGTCAGTGAATGTCCAGTGAATGTGTGTATCCGAATTATTGTGCGTGTCTGTCAGTAAGTATGCAGAAAAGAGGAGTACTGTATAATATCCCAAAAAGGACGAGAAAACAATGCTAAACACCCAAAAGTGTACCTCACATACACCAATATAATATGACAAAAAGGTAAATCTATACTACACCAACAAGTGATAGTATGGATTAAAGGGGTAGCCAATAAATATCATGAAACATACAACCTGAATATAATAAAACACAATTCTTCAGAGGATCTAAAATATAAAAAAAAATAATCACATAATAGTGAAGTATGTACAGAAATAAATAGTTCAATCCCGAAGGTAGAGAATTTACAGGACCGTACTGTAGATCTGCGCTTGTCTCCCTTCCGTAGGGTATCTATATTTACAATAGCGTTTCCTTTCAAGGTGAGCTTGCAGTGTAGACCAAAGGAATATATTCGGAACACCCAATCCTCAAAGGAAAAGAGGTATATAGAGCAGTATTGTAACAAGAATAAATTTATTGATACAAATTGCACTTACATCAAATGAAGATTAAATCAGCATGTCTCCACTAACAAGTGGTACCCAGGAGAAGGAGTCCCTCTGTGGTAATATGGAAATATGGTAAAATAAAAATACATATGATATAAAAAATAAGCAATACAAGAATAAAAAAAAACAATGAAAAAAACTAAAGTAAATTGTTCTGGCTTGTATCCAACGCGTTTCGTCTTATAGACTTCTTCAGGGATATAAAATACAGTCCAAAAATCCTTTCCTTTTATAAGCCTCAAAAGATCTTTGAATTTGCCACGGAAAAACTCCTACTTCCGGGTTTCGTCTTTGCTCGTCTCTGATTGGCCGAACGTGATGACGTTTTCGATCGTGTATGGGGAAGTGACTTACTTCCGCGTTCCATTCTGGAACACATAACGCATGGAACGCGGAAGTCAGTCAATTGGGTAAGCCACCCAAGACATTTTCGCGTGCTCCTGCAGGGTCTAGAAAAGCAGTTCCCAACCTGTGGTACGAATGCAAAAAAATAAATCCGTAATGGAAGTTCTACTAGCAATGCAGCCACACTGCCCAGGTTGCGAACCGCAGGGTGAGAGGCCCATGCACTTGCTGGGAAGAAGTGAGAATCGGTCCCTGTGAAGAAAAGAGACTTTTCATTTGTTACTTTTATTTTTTGTTAGTCCGGTAGATGAATGCCGAACACCCCCCTGGCTCATTATCTATAAAGTAAACGCACAATTGAGCGCTCTCTTTGGGTGGCCGCCGTTTGTATAGCCAAATTCCACGTGGAAGAGAAAACGGCGGCCATCTTGTTTGCACGAAAGGAGGCAGCGGGACTTGGTCATCGAGAGTCTTGAACTAAAATCGGACACTCGACTTCCCAACACCGCTAAAAACATATGAATGCTTGCTTCCTTTTCACAAACAGCTAGGAGAGTGCCGTTCGGTAATTTAGTCCCCACAAGCCAGGGGTCTCCGTTCATGTTTTCATTTGTTTATTTGACTTTATCGAAATACACCGACCGAACAAAATGAAACTCATGGAACTGTTTTGGGCAGGAGCCTCGTGTGCGGTCAGTAAAATGAGACTTCCATACAATGAACCGATCTGGGTGATTTCTGAATATGTTGGTCACCCAGATCAGGGGATATGTCATTTATGGGAATAGCATGTGTTTTAAGGTACGTTCCAAGTTTTGGGGAAAATGTTTTTTCAGCCTGGAGATAATTGAGTTATACATTAGCTTACCTAATTATCTCACAGGCAGAGAGGAGGGGATTGTATGTTTGCAGTGGGAATGTTTCACTTTCTCAGTGTAATGCTATTGGTTGTAACTTTTGTGTCCTGGTGCCCCACAAGGTCCAGGTGGGAGGTCCCCTTGCATGGGGTCTTGCATAAAAGCCAGTGTGGTATCAATAAACCATTATTCCTGTTGTACCCTTCATGAAGTCTAGGCTCATGTTTGGGTAACTATCTACTGGCTGGGGAGAAACTTCTTGGAAGCTGCATTCGTCTGGAACTATTCGTATCTACACCCGAACTGCAGCTATAATCACTAAGGCTCAGCAGTTTGGGAGGAATAGGTGAACAAGGTACCATACCGTACAGGACACAGTGGAGGGTAGGTGCAGACTGGGAGAGGAGCAAGACCCTAACTCCCAACAGCCCCAGTCAGCTGAAGCCACCCTCCTGCACTCAAAAGGTAGAAAACTGAAAGGTGGCTAAAATGTTAAACTGTATGTATCTTTGTGTCTGTATGTATGTATGTTTGTATCTGGGTCTGATGACGTCCAGGAAAGGCGGGACAAAATGCATCAGTTACATTTGGAGGCAGATCTACGGATCAAAATCACAAGGAACCAAGAAGTGCCTTGCAAAAGCTTTCTTTATCCTTATTATTCGTGTGTAGGATTACTCTTTTAACATGCCCACCACTGTTTAAAGTAAGTAGTTTTTAGTTGTATGTTAATAAAATTTGATGTGATGCTGTGCCATTGGGCGTTCCTGGCTTTGTCTCCCTCCATAGATTATGCTCAAGAAAATTACCTTACCATAATGTGGATATGGAGTTGTGGGATCCACTCCGTTTTAAAATGAGGCATGGTTAATAAGGCTCTGGGAAATTTGAGCGTAACCACAATATATATGTGTACGGGGCTGCCATAAGAAAGTAGAGGGTCCCTGACAACTTAAGGTGTGGAGTCCATCCCTGAATCTTTCTGTGGCTGTCCAATCACAGGCTTCCAATGCAGTGAGAAATCTTTGCAAGGCAGCTGCTCTGAGCAATTGCTGCCTCATAAGTTTAGCTCCACTGAGCTAACCAAACCAGGAAGTAAAATGATGTTTGCTTGCAAGCCAAGGGGGTGTAACCGGTATAATTTATAAAACAAAAGTGTCAGTTTCTATTAAAATCTGCACTTTTTGCAAAATTAAAAAAAGGGGATATACTCTTCACACAGTAAGATTTTTTTTGTGTTAAGGATCCGGTTCTTAATATTTTACAACTTGTAACACCATTGGCCTATGGAATTGTAACTTTAATTCTTAATACATACAGTCATACTACTTTA